CTGATTTAAGCAAGGAATTGGACTCGTGGGTAAATAACATGGAGCCATTCATAACATGAAAATTTAAGTGAGGCATTAAGGGGAATCCGCTAACTGGGAAGTGCGATCTCCTCAGAACATTAGCATTAATAACATGTTATTCAAATTAATGGAAACGTGATCTCTCATTACGGAACGCGCAGCTTATCTCCAGTCGAGCTAACCGACTTTGCTTTCGTTGCGACAAGTCGTCGCTTTGCGACTGGAGACGTAACTTCCCTTGCAGGTGAGCCCTTGAAAGCATGGCTTTCTACATGCTAAATGGCTCATCTATCTGCATTTACATCAACTGGGTAACGTAACGATTCCTTACCGTTTCTACAACGATTCATTACGTTCCTTTAGACTCCTACCTTACAAAGGATGTCAATATAGCCAAGCCAGATTGACTCGCAATCGTCCTTCCGTGAAAAAGTCATTCCTCCGTTGTGGTAGTTGATCGTGCGTGATTTGTGACACTTGCAAACCTACGTTTAAATTAACAAAACTCGCAATATATTTGCGTTTATATTTTGTATTTTTTGCACGCTCCGTAATTCGAATTTTCAGTTTGTCTTCATTTGAAAAAAAAAAAACCCCTTCTAATTTGTACGTAAAAAAATTTAACTTTCATTAATAAAAACCCACTCTAGCGGGAAGTGGGAGTTTGTTCTCGCCTCTAATCTTCATATGATGATATGTAGTTTTTATAGATTTTCCTCCTCTTTATTCCATACGAAAAAAATGACGAAAAGTGTCCTCAAATTTCGAATTATAGAGCTTTTGGTACCACCACTTCGAATTATAGAGTTAATGTACACATTTCTTTAACACGAAATTTTTTGATACCACTTGTTGAAATTCGAAATCTTGCCAATTCAAAAACCCTTTAATTCTAAAAAAATCCTTGGTCCCTTGAATTTCGAATTAGCGAGCGTGCACTACTGATAAAATATCGTGATTTCTTTCAATGACCATTCCCTAAATTCATGTTGCTTTGTATCTTGCAAAAGATTCACAAATTACGTTGCAGCTGAAGGAATTGGTTTCAGAAAAAGCTTTTTGGTGCCAAAGGACAATCACTTGGGGATACTTAAAAGGCCCGAGTTGACATTGATGCGCCATCGTCAATGGATTTCATGAAAATTGGGCATCTTAAATGAAACTATGGCATTTTTAAATTTCCGAGTCGGCGTTGAATCCTCACATATTCAATCCAATCCGAGGAAGGTTTTCTGAGGAAAGAAATATTTTGAGGGACGACCACAAATAAGGCCCTGAGTTAGTCAATCTGTGCGTAGAAAAAGTGGAATCTGCCCTTAATATTTGACATTTCGTTGGCTGAAAGACTTGCAAAGGGAGGACGTACCGAATGCCCAACTCCTTGGGGCGAAAGTCCGAATTTATAATTGCGAGTGCAAAAGACAAGAAAGTAGCAATAATTTGAATAATGCAGATACAGAGAGTTGAAAGGATCCGTTTTTGGCACCGATTCAGACATTGGTGTCAGATCGCACGTTAAAAAGTTATTTTCCGATTCCTCAACTTAGGAGTCACTCTCCGAAATTTTTCGTCGGATGTGTTGGTCAGGCTTTATTTCGTACAATAGGCGACTATTCTTACATAATTCTCGTGCATTGCGTTCTCGGCCAAATGAAGGCGTTTCATTTTGCCCCACGAAACAAAAAACATCAATTTATATCGACGACTGTGAAACTGCAGGAGCGCGCACCTCGATTTGCGACGTTGCATGCTTTCTGTTTTATATTTATTTTTTCAAATGGGAAACAACTCAACGCCATCAATCGAAAACTTGCCCAGCAAAAATCTCACCGCGATATTCATCAGTCATCATTAGGCGAATTTTATTTGGACGTATTTCTATCAAACAGAACTATGTGCATTAAGACATGAGCCCTGAGACCCATAAGAATATATACATAACAGGGTTCATGTCATATTGCACATAGTTCCGTTTGACAGAAATACGTCCATTTGATCAGTTTTACAAAAAGTTGCTTATCAACCATCTTTGTAGGCCAGAAAGTAACGTTAAACTCCGTATTAATACTTTTGTCTCACTCGATTGCATATTTAAATTCTTAGTGATGGATCTTTAGATGTCTTTCTTTTTACTAACACCAAAAGTGCCAAAAATGAGAGGCCCAAATCACGGAGCTACAAAGGAGAAATAAAAGGGATAGGTACAACTACATGAGCGTTTCGGTCTTGATCTTGCCTCTACCATTTTTTGAAGGCACCTCGTCAGGAACGTCGGCCCACGAGGCGGCCCACGGTGAACCGAGTCAATTAGAGAGGTCGGACATACATTTTTGACCAAAACTGCAAATCTCATGTTTATTTCGTTACATTTTAAATTACAAGGGGTGCTTTAAGAAGACAATTTTTCGAGGAAACCAACGGAATCACTTTTAGAACCTCGAAATTTGGTATGAATCCGTTTATACCAAATTTCGAGGTCATAAGCTTTTAAAGTTTCCAAATTTTGTCTGACCTCTCCCAGTGACTCGATCCAGTGTGCGGCCCCGGGGGTGCTTTAAATCGTCGTCCCCCGCACGAAGGAACGTAACTCCATTCCAAGTTTGCCAAATTGACCCAAACAATTGATTTATTTCACAAGAATGTACAAGTGCAATTTGTATCGAAAATTCACCTGACTTTTGCTTGAAATCTGAGGAAAATTTAGCGAAATTTTCGGTTGGGAATGCCCAAGACTCTCCTGGTTAAAAAGCAATTTACGAGGGGAATTTGGCAGCATTGCATTGGAGTTACGTTCTTTCGTGGAGGAAACGACGAAATGTGAGAGCACTCGGCAACAAGGCCCAAGGCGTCCAAGCTTTGCCGTCAGAGGTGGCTGTGACGAATTTGCGTCGACCGAAGTTGGGGATTTTTATTCACGGTCCTGGCTTCGTTCCTATTCATGCGACAATCAAGTGCACGGCATAATCGTAAAAGTATACGACGTAAGTCGAAAGAAACACTGTAATAGTTTCCTGGCCGAAACAAAGGGTTGACAGGAGCGCGGATGATATGTTTATTACTCGAGCGCAGCGCTCTCGATCCATCCCCAAGTTGCCAAGAATTCACTCCGTTCGGTTGCTTTTTCTCCTAAAAGAATAAATGTACTCTGAAGCAAATTTTTGAGTCAATCTCGAGGCAGTCAAATCAACTCTAAGGGGTATACTCGTCCTCCCTGGTAGCTAAACGGTTCAGCTCAGTGGCGTGGCGTGAATTGCGATTTATCGATTGTTAAGCCATCTAAACCAATGAGAAAGAATCGATAAACAGGGTGTTCGCAGCGAACACCTTAATAATCGATTCTTTACCATAGGTTTAAATGGCATAACAATCAATATATCGCAATTCGCGCCACGCCACTGGTTCAGCTAGAGACGGACACCCTCCGTCCCTTCAGAAGACCAAAAGTTGGAGGCCGAGATCACGGAACCTCGTGAATTGGTTTCTCTTAGACGGGCTTAAAAGTCCAAAACCTCTTAAGCTCTAGCGTCTTGCATAATCAACGAAAGCCAGGGCCCATGATTTTTTATTCTTACGCCCGTCCAACAGAAACCGATTTAGTCGCAAAATGAAGTGCAATTGAACGTATTTAGGTACTGCTGAACGGAACTTTGTGCATTGAGACACGAGCCCTGAGATCTACAAGAATATATGTGTCGTAGGCAGTCAGCAATCGCCGGCAATTTGCAAGCTCCGTACTTGTCAATTCGTCAAATTGCAATTGCAATAACATCGATGTAGTAAAGGTTTCTCTAGCGAAGAGATGCAAGGCACGACCTCAGCTTGGAACGCCTTCAAATCCAGCGATACTCACCGCTTTGCCAAGGAGTTAGTTTAGTTGCTGAACCAAACCAAACCCAACGCATATTATTGATTACATTTCACGAACTTGCGAGTGTGCTAACTGGTACCATGCATTCAAGAAGAAAGAGATAACGTATGTTTGAATTTAAATCATAATAATCACTACTTCCCACCTCGTTTTTTCATTCTAACATTTCTTAATGTGTTGATTCAATACAAATAGATTGCACTTTGCCGGCGATTGCTGATCGCCTGCGACCCATGCATAACAGGGCTCACATCATAAAGCATATAGTACCGTTCGGCAGAAATACGTCCAATTCACACCCCTGGTAACATAGACGGGAATCGGGGATCGACTCTCAGTGTTTTTCTTCTCCATCGTGTTCGCGGTGAAAATGAAAATGCTGGTTTAAAAAATTTGTGGTTAAAAAAAAGTGTCCGACATGTTTCATTGCAGATTTTACATTAAAAAAAATGCTAAATTAGCTTCTCACTATTGTAAAATTTACATTTGAAACATACCGGATATATTTTTTTAAACAATGTTTTCGTTTGATCAGCAACACATTTTTTCCGTACTCACCTTTCTAGCTTTTAGCATTTTACTCCCGTTTATAAAATTAGTGTACTATTCGTATTTATCCCATTTATTTCGCGTATGCATTTTTCACTATAACGACTTTATTTTATGTATGTTAGGATTAATTTTTTTATTTACTGGTTTGAACCAGAGAGATATGTCAACACGACGATGACTCCTGTTTTTATTATGTATTTCTTACATCACGGAAAAAAAGAGGTAGGGGTTACGTCCCAACTGTTGGATGATATGGACATTCCCAATTAATCGTGGTAATACCATGATTAATTGTGGCAGTATCCCAATTAATTGTGGTAGTATCCTGATAAATTAGGTTACTAACCCAAATGTTGTGATACTACCCCAACTTGAGTTGCGGTGCTACCAAAATTAATTGGAAATGTCCATATCATCCAACAAATTTGGGTAGTAGAACAGTTTTGGGGGATAACCCCTGACACTTTTTTTTCGTGTAATAAATGAATGAAACAACAAGAAAAAATCACATTTTCCTTAGAGTTTGCCTACAGTTGTGTTGTTTTTGCGTGTGTTGCAGGGGATTCAATCCTCGTGTGGTTTGTTCTGGACTACTCCGCGGACTTTTTATACATAATCGACATCCTGTTCCACTTCCGGACGGGCTACCTGGAGGACGGCGTCCTGCAGACGGACTCGACGAAGCTGCGCACCCACTACATGAACTCGACGACGTTCTACATCGACTGCCTGTGCCTCCTCCCTTTGGACTTCCTCTACCTCTCGATCGGCTTCAACTCGGTTTTGCGCTCCTTCCGGCTCGTCAAGATCTACCGCTTCTGGGCCTTCATGGACCGGACCGAGCGGCACACCAACTACCCGAACCTCTTCCGCTCGGCGAGCCTCATCCACTACCTCCTGGTGATCTTCCACTGGAACGGGTGCCTCTACCATATCATCTGCAAGAACAACGGGTTCGGGAGCCGCAACTGGGTCTACTCGGACAACGACACGACCGACGTGGTGAAGCAGTACCTGCAGAGCTACTACTGGTGCACCCTCGCCTTGACCACCATCGGGGACCTCCCCCGGCCGCGGAGCAAGGGCGAGTACATCTTCGTCATCGTCCAGCTCCTCTTCGGCCTCCTCCTCTTCGCCACCGTCCTCGGCCACGTCGCCAACATCGTCACCAGCGTCAGTGCCGCCCGCAAGGAGTTTCAAGGTAGGATACTTCACATCCCCATTTCTCCACTTTTTTCCCGCTCTTATTTGCATCGAGAATCTACTCATCTTTCTAGGAGAGATCGGGTCCGTAATGATAGAGTGCGTCAGATAATGGGAGTCGAAAATGACATCGTGTTCGACGTCATGACCAAACAACTTGTTTGGTATGGTCATGTCAATAGGATGACTCAAGAGAGGCTCCCAAAAAAGATGCTTGATTGGGTTCCTCCTGGGAGGAGACGTAGGGGACGCCCAGGGAGAGGTTGGCGACAGGGAGTGTTGATTGAGATGAGGGAGTGTCAACTCCCTGATGACCTGTGGGAAGACTGAGCTTTGTGGCGATTAGGCGTCGTGAAGCGCCAAAGAGCGCTGTAAAAGCGACTCATATGTATGTATCTACTGATCTTACCCGGCCGCACGTGTGCCCCGGTGGATATTTGCGGGCACCGTGGAGGTGCCCTTTATACCCTTGGTCGGTGACCTTGGAATTGGCTCTCGATTCTTAGGCTGGGGTATGGTTACCAGCCTCTTCTTTCACTCTCTCTTTCTTTCCTTCCTTTCCTTCCTCTTCTTCCTATCCTTCCTCTCCTTCCGAAGAAGATGATCCCTCCCCAGAAGAGGCGACGCACAGTGGATCGAGTCAATCAGAGAGGTCGGACATGAAATTTCTGACTAACAGTGAAAATGTTGATGTTTATTTCGTCACATTTTGAATTTCAAGGGATGCTTGTAGCAGGAAATTGCACGAGGAAACCAATGGAACCACTTTTAAAACCTAATAGTTTCGTATGAACAGAGTTATGAGCTTTTAAAGTATCCAAATTTTGTCCGAACTCTTCTATTGACTCGATCCACCGTGCGACGGGGACGTCCCCTAAAGAGGTGGCGGCAGGGCGTTGACGAGGAGATGTTGCGGCGTCAGTTTCCTGATAACCTTTGGTAGGATAGGCATATGTGGCGTTTTGGTGTCGCAGAACGCCAGAGTTTGTTGTAGGAACGATTTTAAATATGTACTTGGATCGCGTTTAGCGGAAAGGAACCAAGCCACATCAGTTATTGCCAAATTTAATGAGGCAATTTAAGTTAGAACAAGAGAACGGTTGTGCGGTTCGCTTTGAAAACTGTACGGAATCTGCTTCGCATTGAGCAGAAAATTCACTTTGTACAAAAATCCGGACAGTTGTTTTCATGTGAAAAAATAAATTTCCTATTTAGTAAGTGCGGCTTGGTTCCTGTTTACTTAACGTGGTCCGTTTTGTCGTCCTCCGTACGAAGAAACGTTACTCTATTCCAAGGTCGCAACAATGACTCAAACAATTTGATTTTTACAAGAATGTATCCGGGCATTTGCCCAAACTCGTCTGATTTTTGCGTGAGATCATGAAGAAGAAACCAAGATACCCTTCGAAAAATGCAGTATGCGAGGGGAAATTTGGCAACATTGAAATGTAGTTACGTTCTTTTGTAAGAGAAACGAAGATTTGGTATATTCTGTTCGGAGTCTACGATCATCCATGAACTTTTTATTCATTGCCCCTAGACATCAAGGCTATAGATACTTCCGTGCTCTTAATTGGCCTCTCAAATTTTCAGAGATTATGGTCGAGTATAGAGTCGAGATCCGAGAAAAACATCCTTGAATTTAACCTTGTTCCAAAACTACAAGAGAGAAACGTCCGCCCATAGTCAGGCCGGTAGATGTAGCGAACACGAGCGCCTTCAACTACAGATCCATGCAACTATTCATACTCCGAATACAACTATTCGTACTCAATGGACGTCCGTGTTGCATACGCTTAAATTGAAGGCGCTTGGATTTTATGGTCATTGCGTCGTCGCGGTAGTCGTGAGAAGTACTCTCCGTGCAGTTATTAAGTCTCGCCGATAAAGGCCTAGATACACACGGCGATTAATCGCCGTGTGTATCTAGGCCTTAAGAAATCACTCCGAAGATCTAGTCTATATTCCGTTAGAAGTCTACGATCATCTATAAACTTTTTAATCATTGCTTCTAGACATCAAGTCTATTAATACTTCCATGCTCTTGGCCTCTCACATTTTCAGAAATTAAGATCGAGTATAGAGTCAGTTTCAGCAGATCCACGCATCAACTCCGTGAATATTTGTCATTCCTACCGATATTCTAACCCGGGACCCACTGACCTAGATTCAGACGCACTATGGCAGTTCCTAGTATGCTAGTGCAGTTGCTAGTATGCTAGTGCAGTTTCTAGTATGCTAGTGCAGATGCTAGTAACTATGCCATCCTGGCCGCCCAATCATCATTTTAGCCACACTCGAAAAGCAACGAGGCAATGAAATCCTGGCACTGACGGATACTGTAATGTACGGGATTCAACTTTACCTATAATGGCTAGTAACAGTCATTTGGTGTTGCCTGTTGAGCACCTTCTTGTTCAATGAAACTTAATGGAAAAATATTAAATTGCATCAATTCTGCCGTGACATCAGGACAGTTTGACGCTAACTTGTGACCATTTATAAGAGAGCAAGGTATGGTGCCGTTGAAATCAAACTTGAGCTGTTCTCATTTGTACTCATGCTACAGGAAAGTACAGGAGAGTACAAGAGAGTACAGGAGGGTACAGAAGAGTTTATAGGCTTAAGGATCATATTAGAACACAGGAAGAGCTAAGATATGTAACTAGATCGACGTTATTACAGTTTCAGGTATTTATTTTGAAAAGTGTAGTTTTAGCAAATAAGTTTTGGTCCAGCATATTTCGGGCTCGAACTTGTTCTTTACATGCATAATTCGTGGCATAAAATTAAAGACGTCGTTGCCGATTTCTTTTTTGGGGGTAGCAGAAACTCTTATTTGTCAAAATTTAATCGAATTTTTAAGTAAGCTTTTGTAATCAGTACGACTAGAAAAGTATGTATGACCGAGAATCCACAATGAGCATAGTAAGAGCAAAAGGCCGTTTCCTCTTCGTGACCAGTTCTGATACACAATATTTTGTAGAATGGAAAACAGCTTAATAAAATAATAATTCAATCCGGAAAAAGCCTGCAGTAAAATCCGCAAAATCGCGTACGAATAAAACGGGAAGTTTTGGAATAATTACAATCTCAATCATAGAAAGGCAAAAATCGAGTCGTCGATACGCTGTAATTGCGAGACCAGGACCATTTTTTTGACGACTCAATTGTATCTTGTTAAGCAGAGAGGAACCAAGCCACATCAGCGATTGCCAAATTCAATTTGGCAATTTATTTACTTTTTTAGACCAAAACGATTGTCCGAATTTTTGTGCAAATTTCAGTGAATTTTCTACATGGCATGAAGCAAATACCTTAAAATTTTCAATGGATTCCACACGACCGTTTTCTTGTAAAAAATTAAACTACCCCGTTAAATTTGGCAATAGCTGATGTGGCTTGGTACCTTTTTGCTTAACGTGGTCCATTTAACCTAGTTCTGAAACTACAAGAAAGAAACACCCGCCCACAGTTAAGCCGGTAGGTGTGACAAACACAAGCGCCTTCAACTACCGATGCATACAACTATTCATACTCCGAATACAACCATTCGTACCGAATGGACGTCCGTGTTGCATGCGCCTAAATTGAAGGCGCTCGGTATTTTCCGGCTTTTGGCTTGGTTTCTTCCTGTTTAACGCGGTCCAGTTGTTCGATTTTTCAGGTTGAAAATGAGATTGTAATAATTAAGGATTGCCCCAGTTTTTTGCAGGTGATTTTTTTTTCACGCTAGAAAAAAAAACACATTGCATCTAAAGTCCAGACTCTTGAAAACATTGTCAAGAAAAATACTCTTGATCCAATCAGATTTAAGCTTAAATCAAAAGGAAATCCGCTCAAATTAAGAGGCTTGGTTCTTGATTTAACCTTAAATCTTATTGAATCAAGAATATTTTTTCTTGTCGATTTTTTTAAGAGTCTGGACTCTAGATCCAATGTGTTTTTTTTCCAGTGCACTGTAGCCTTTCCCCAGATTAAGTTGTTATTTTAATATTCTGCAGAGCTGTTAAGAAAATAAGACTCATTTCCCAATACAAGGTGGCGGCGCTGGTTTTGAAGGGAGGAAACTCGGCCGAATCGAATGGATTCTGCGTTCCAACTCGAGGCAGATTCCCCGCATCGCGACTTGTGCCCTCCTCTCTGGAGCGCTCTCCTTTCGATAAGGTTTTTCGACGCTTTATTGGAACGGTATAAATATTCGGCCGACCTCCCTAGACCAATAAAAAACACATTTTACGCATGTTGAAGCCCTATCTTATTTCACCGCTCTGCTTTTATTTCCCGACCCGGAATCCGAAAACTTTAAATGCCACAAAGCTTTTAACCCATCGCGGCGAGATGTATCTCGATAGTCAAAATCTCCGCACGGCCGCAACGATCCTGACGTTTAGCCCACTTTTCAAATGGTATATATAACGCGCGGCTTACGGTCGGGTCGGTGTTACAGTAAAATGTTCCGCTATTTAACCTCTAACAACTGGAGTTTACAAAAGTAGTACACTTGTAGAATAAACTTCGAGTATTGGAGTGCACGGAAAAAAATGAACTTGTTGGTTTAAGGTGATTCGTCAGCCTCAAGTGACATGGTCGAACTGGTATGCGATATATCGCATCGATTAGGTAAAAAATCTCGGCAGATTTTGAATTTTTAGCTAAAAAAGGGACGATGGTCCCTGAGTATAAGCCTGAAAAATCATTCTAAATCCAAAAATCGGCAAAATTCAGAGAAGTGAAAGCAGAACAGTGTTTGGATAAGAACCTCGCATTGGATACAAAAATCAATTGCTAAATCGAATGCGGGGTTTTTCCCCCAAACACTATGCTGCATTCATTTCTCTGAATTTTGCCAATTTTTGGGTTTAGAATGATTGTTTAGGCTCGTGCGCAGGGGCTATCGTCCTTATTTTTTGCTATAAATCCAAAATCTGCCGAGGTTTTTGACCTAAAAGATGCGATATATCGCATGCCAGTTCGACCACTTCTTTTGAGCTTGAC